CATGCAGAGCATCATCCCTTCCCCAAGATCGATCATCCATTCTTCGGAGCAGAATCGTGGCTCCGACTTGCCCTCGAAGATGTTGATACCCTTCTGCATCATGAAGCTCCATCCACTCCCTCCAGATCAATCATCTGGAGATCATCCTTGCCCTGCCATCGCCGTCGTAGCCACCAGTCCTACACATCGACGGTCGCAAACCGTAGAGGCGGCTGTGTTCTGTTGCGTCCGTCGCGGCGTGGTTAGTATCATCTGGGGAGAGATTTACGGGGGACGGGGGACGGGAGACGGGGCGGCCTCACACTCGCATCAAAGACGTTTCGATTGGTTCCCTCAATAAAGAAAGGACGCTTCGACTGGAGGAGCATTCGATTCCGCTTCTGCGGGCCAAGAAGGAGGAGCCAATGTGTGGGGTCTGATGCACGGGCGGGATCAATTATTGGCTGCAGTCCGAGTCACACCTGCGAGAGAGAAAAATGATGATTATATGTAAAAGAAAAAATAATGACATGGTGTAGTGATGTGGAAGCCTACATGTCAAGATAATTGGTGGTAGTGGGATGATGATGTGGATAGGCTGCATGTCAAGAGAAATATGTTAGTGGGAATGAACTATTTAGGTATTATAGATACCAAATGAAGATAAGAGGAAGCATAGGGCATAATCTTGGTGGAGGCATTTCAACGGAGATAGGAATGTGTTGCGCAAGTGGATTTATTAGACTAGATAATAGCAAAATTTCTTGCTTGATATTTATATTCCATTTACGATGTATTTTTCTCACAATCAAGTTTGGAATTACTCTACGTCAAGTCATAACATGGTTGTGATTGGTATCCATTATAGTATTACATTACATTATGTTACATCTTTTGCGTCATTAAGCGCCTTTTTTGTTCAATTTCTTTTACCACTTTTGTTTTGTATTATATTTACTTTTTGCTCATACTGTATTCAGTGAGAAAACCGTTGAATCATACGCTCTCTTGACCTAATCCCAAGTAATATTTGTGTTGGATTTTTGAATGCATGATTGTTGTGTTTTTCCTTATACGTGTGTGATTGTAGCATTAGCCAGATGTGCGAAATCACTAATTAAGAAATACTCGTTGCAAAGAACACCCAACTTTTCTAGGTCACGACAAGTGACGCATATGCAGCGCGCCATTTGTCGCAACCCGAGAGTTTTTCCTTTTTCATAGATCCATTTATTCAAAATATTTTATTTTTTAAACCGTGCGTCCAAATCTTGAACCGTTTTCACCATTTGATTCCTCACGTCGAGATCTTCAAAACTAGATCTCATGTTGATAGGTTTGGACGAACTTTTTTTCACGAAAAATAACAGGCGAAGAAACCGAACCGGGAGCACGGTTTTTTTCCTTTCCGAAACAGGCACGCTCGTGCCTCTCGCGAAATCACACCCGTGTCTTTCGTGGAAGCAAAACTGTGACTCTCGTGAAAGGAAAAAAAACAGAAAATGCGTTTTTTTTTCGTTTCTGAGAGACACGGCCGTGACTCTCGCGAAAGCACAACCGTGCCTCTCGCGGAAGCAAAACCGTGACTCTCATGAAAGAAAAAAAATAGAAAACACATTTTTTTCCTTTTCTGAGAGGCACGGCTGTGACTTTCGCGAAAGCAGAACCGTGCCTCTCGCGGAAGCAAAACCGCGACTCTCGCGAAAGAAAAAAAAATAGAAAACATGTTTTGCTTTTCTTTTCCGAGAGGCACGGCCGTGACTCTCGCGAAAGCACAACCGTGCCTCTCGTGAAAGCAAAACCATGACTCTCGCGAAAGAAAAAAAAACAGAAAACGCGTTTTTTTTCGTTTTTGAAAGGCACATCCGTGACTCTCGCTAAAGCACAACCGTGCCTCTCGCAGAAAAAAATCGTGACTTTCACGAAAGAAAAAAACGCGTTTTTTCGCGCACATTTTTTTCTCTCGAAAAGCTAAGAAAGACCAGAGGAAAACCAAAACGTCAAAAAAACGGAAAAAAAATTTAAAAAACCGAAAACACGTTCGGAAAAATAAAAAAACAGAGGGAGCGTCCAGAGCGTGACACGTGGTGAATGGCTGAGAGCGCGCCAAGTGGCGTTGATCATTGTAAGGCTCCCGAAGGAGCGCTTGTTAACTAGTTGCTCCCCCTGACGTGTGTTGCACGTGTGAAAATCCTATATACATGCACCCATTGTGGGCATTATTGTCGCTATGCTCGCGTTGCCTGGTGGATGGGCCGAGCCCAATAGGGGTTCGTCGGCTATATTTTTTATTTGTTTCTTCTTATTTGCCTAACAAAATGCTTCTTCTTCTTTTCTTTTGATTTATTTGTTCCTTTTCACCATCATTCTTGTCTCCAGTTTTAGTTTTTCTGTTCTTGTTGGTTTTTATATTTGTGTCATTTAACTTTTCCCTTTTTATGTCAACATCTGAATAGTTTTTAGGAATATAAGAATATTTTTATATAGATTAACATATTTTTCATGTACATGAACATTAGCCATAAACATTCAAAAAAAGTATGGGAATTTTAAACAATATAAAGGGATATTTTTTTCTACTGCATGAACATTTCTTTTCAACCGCAATAATTTTAATATGTGAACATTTCTATTTTTACACATAATACTTTTATATTAATTACAACATTACTAAAAATTAAATGTAAAAGGAAAAAAACATTACTTTTAGTGGACAACGCTAGTGCCCGTCCCATTAGGCTTTCCTTTAGGCAAAGCTCCTAGTATATAGCACTCAAAACAAAAAGCTCCTAGTATATCTGATGGCACAACAAGTTCTCAAAAAAAAAGAATCTGATTGTTTTTTAGGCAAAAAAATATCTAATGGCACAACGATACATTGTCTGCAGCGAGTGCAAAGGAAAAGTCGCTTACAACAGGCCCACCAAAAGCCGCCTTTTTTCTTTTTTCTTTCTTTTCACTTTCCTTTGTTATTTTTTTATAACTATTCATTCATTTGAAAATAAATTTTGCTTTTAAAAGATGATAAATTTTGAAAAGGGATCTTGCACTTTTTTAAACCATGTATTAAAAATATCAATGTGTTTATCAAAAAATGGTTATATTTATTTTTAAACAGGAAAAAGAAAGACATGAAGATATAGAAAAGAGAAAAAGGAAAAATTCTTTGAAGATTGGACATAAAACTGTTCGCCAAAAGTTTAAAGTAAAAAAGGCCCACAAGCAAGGGTCTGGGCTGCCGAGGTCGCCTATGGGCGCTTGTGTGTGGAGGAGCTGGGCCCCGCTCAAGTGTATTGGCTGGCGATGTAGCATAGGCTCTGGACTTCTGACCGCCGCGCATGACATGGCCTGCGGGGTGAGCCATCAGTTTGCTACACGTGTTTGCAAGATGAGGATAACGTAGATCACATTCCGTCGACATGCGGATATGCGTGTGAGGTTTGGTTCTTCATTTGGGATGCGCTCCGCATCAACGTGCAGGACCGTCTCCCAGATGATACGACTCTTGAATGGTGGTTGAGAGAGAGAAAACAATTTCACAAGGCTGACAAGCGAGGGTTTGACAGTTGTTCATTGCGGGTATGTTGGCTCTTTGGAAGCAACGCAATGCTAGGGTATTCAACAGAGTCGACCAACAAAAGAATGCTAGGGAGCTTGCCACTATGATTCTTGGTGAGGTAGCCGAGTGAAGGCAAGCAAGTGATGGTGTTGGTGGTCTACAATGATTTGTGAGGAGTTAGCTTAGGTGTGCTAGTTGGTGTCGGTGACGTGTATGTGTGACCGTGAGTGCGCACTCAGGCCACACTTTTTGTAATTATACTTTCTATCATCTATAAAAATATGGTATATCATTGTACTCTTGAAAAAAGGCACACGAAATGTCAAAACATCATCTTGATGATGTGCCCATAGAGAATAGTTGGCTCGGGGCGACAAAGAGCACCTATTTGAGGCTTTTTATGATGGTGCGTCAAATAGTTAGGATTTTTCTCGCGAGAAAATAGTTAGGATTGGGACCTCCTATTCCCCGCCTTCAACGCCGAGCTGTCGTTATAACAGGCACACACGCTCACTCTACACCCTTTGACCACTATTTTTTTAGGATGGCGCTGGCTCATCTAAAAAGCAGCTGCTGGTGACTCAGTAAAAATTTATATTGAGAAAAAATCTATAACAACTTACAAAATTGAAATAAAAGACTAAAAGTGTATTTCAAGAATGTTCATCATGTATCTAAAAAATGTTTATCATGTGTTAAAAAAGTACAATGCATACTGAAAAACCATCGTTTTTTGTTCAAGAAGTGTTGTGTACATAGTAGAAAATTGAATGAAAATTTAAAAATAATGGCTAATTATAAGATGTTCTAACCTTTTTATGAATCGGATGTTTGTAGATGCGTTTTAGTGTGTTTGTTCACTCATTTTAATCTGTATATAGTTTATATTAAAATATCCAAACATCTTAAATTGGTATGGAAGGAATAATAATGACCTGAAAAAATATAAGGGAAAAGAAGACAGAAATAAATTAAAAAAATAAACCGGCAAATGGGGCTGGCCCAGAGCAATTACGGAAAAAATACTAGTAACATTTTGCGTATAGGAGCAACTAGTCTAATTTGTTAAAAAGTTGGGCTTTTCTCCGCGATTAGGCCGTGGGCCATGTGCCATCCAGCCCAATTCGAGAAGAAGAAGGCGCGGCTGGACATCATCGTCTCCACACACCTCCACCTCACCTTCTCCGACTCAGCCGCGCTACCATGACTTTCCCCATGGCCACCTCCACCGCCTCCACGGCCGCCGCCGCTTCCATCCGCCTTCTCCCGGTGCCAGCCACCCCATCCTCCCGCACTCTCCGCTTCCCGCCCATCCTCCGCCGCGCGCCCCGCGCCCTCTTGTCCGTCTCCGCTCTCAGCAAGCTCTCCGAGGCGTCCCCCGTCCCCATCCCGCAGGAGCCCACCCAGACTTTGCCCGGCGAGGACGCGCTTCCCCCTAGGCCCGGGGTCTACGGCGTCTTCGACCCCGCCGGGGACCTGCAGTTTCTCGGGATCTCGCGCAACGTCAGGGCCAGCATCGAGGGGCACCGCAGAAAGGTGCCCGCTGACCTCTGCGCCTCCGTCAAGGTATACACAATTGCGCATCACCCATTCTGTAGGATTTTAGCTACATCATGGAATTGGATTGCGCAAAGGGTCCTATGAATTGAATCATGATAATTGATTGCTTGCCTCGTCCTATATTGTTTGATGATGAATGCTTCTGAAGTGATCATGGTTTCTTCTCAACCAGTTAACTTAAGGGTTGGTTGCTATACAAAAATATATGCGCTCCTACACCCATTTTGATCACTTCTGCAAATGATTGTCCTGTCCCGTGGTCTTGCTATACACACTTAGGGCGTGTTTGTTTGAGCCGCAACTTCTCTGGCTGCAGCATGTAACGACTCCGGCTGGAAGAAGCAGCTGTACCTGCTAGGTGTGGCTGGAAGGTTCGAGCTGAGGTGCAGTCATTTGGTAGTTATACTATAGCAGCTGCGGCTGGTGCAGAGACGCGTTGAAATGACCAGAGTGCCCTCTATTGGTCTGTACATTGGGTTTAAGTGCTGACTGTATTACTATAACTGTAAACGATCTGATTAAGAGCTATTTTTGCACAAATGGCCAAAATGAGGCACAGTTGTCTGGTAGTTGTGTTCATCTTTGTACATACAAATAAAAATAACAAATACTCCAGTTTTTTTAGAGAATAAAATAACAAGTACTCCCTCCGTAAACTAATATAAGAGCATTTAGAACACTAAAGTAGTGATCTAAACGCTCTTATATTAGTTTACAGAGGGAGTACTTAATATCACATACCATCAATTAATCAATAGACACAATCTTCGGTGATACATTTTTTGACGAAAGTTGGAGAGTTCGCACGCTGTATTAACTCAGTATGTATCAACTCTCAGTTATCTCTCTTAAACAAACACACTCTTAGGCCCCCTTTGTTTGGGCTACAGATTCCTGATAATCACTATGGCTGTGGATTCCTGAGAATCAGTTGTAGCTATGGATTCCTGAGAATCAGAAACTGGTTGTTTGTTTACCCTGCTGTTGGATAGTTGTAGGAATTGTAGGGGTTATGAAATGTCAGTAATGTCCCTGGATGCCGAGTATGACGTTTATATGCTGATTTGGTGCAAATTAAGTACTATTTTTATTTTAGACTGAAATGACATGTATGTATACTAGTTTTGGTTGGTTTTGTTAGGCCACTAGAAACTAGTCATTGCATTCTTTTGGATGCGCTGGTCTGCAGCTAACAAGGATCAGAGCCAATACTAGTTCCTCAAAACAAGATACGGCTTGTTTGTACATTACTGACCAACACGAGTGCTGCCAGGAAACTGACAAAATACAGCAATTTTTCTCTTGTGGACAATCTGGTTTCAGCTTCAGTTCATACAGCACGGCTTCTAGCTGACCAACACGAGCGCTGCCAGGAAACTGTTAGCAGTCCATGGCGGCCACCGCCACCTGACCAACATGAGTGTCGTTGAGGGAGAGGCCGAGGCAAAGGATGGGGGCGGGGCCACGCGCGCGGAGCCTGCGGTACTCCCTTGCGCCTCCGCCACCGTGCTCCGCTTGATCCTCCAGCCTCAGCAGGCGCGCCTCCTCCGTTGACGTTGTCGTCGTCGCGGTCACCATGGGGAGGGAGACGAGACGATGGGGTTTTGGCGTGGTTGACCTGGCCTGCGGGGTGGATACTAGATGAGGTTGCGGTGGCAGTTTTATTGTAATTTCAACTGGAAATAGGGGCAAGGGCACAAAATGAATCGTTTTGTTTTGTGGGAATCTGTAGAATCGGCTGAATCACCAAAATCGCTGCTTCCGGATTCCCTTCGCTGGTAGTTCATTTTTGGAATCAAATTCTAGGAAGCTATACGGGAATCCCACGTATTTGTTTGAGCTTCTGATTTTAGAAGCCTAGAATCTGAGAATCAGAAGCTGTAGCCCAAACAAAGGCCACCTTAATCACTAATGACTCTGTATCAACTCTTAGTTATCGCTCTTCACGTTTTGACCATGCTACTTGAGGATTTGATTGCACCTATTTCTACAGGTTGCAATACCAGACGAGGAAACGCCAGATAAAAGTGTCCTAACTAATGCCTGGAAATCATGGATGGAAGAATACATAGCAGCCACCGGCAAGGCGCCACCAGGGAACGTTGCCGGGAACCACACCTGGATCGGTCCTCCACAGAGACCTGCAGACCTGCGTTTGACTCCTGGTCGCCATGTGCAGCTAACTGTGCCGCTTGAACAGTTGATTGATCGGTTAGTGAAGGAGAATAAAGTGGTTGCCTTCATCAAAGGATCAAGAAGCGCTCCCCAGTGTGGGTTCTCACAAAGAGTGGTGGGGATCCTGGAGGCACATGGAGTGGACTTTGCATCCGTAGATATTCTTGACGAGGAGCACAACCATGGGTTGAGAGAGACCCTCAAGACCTACAGCAACTGGCCAACCTTCCCACAAGTTTTTGTTGGAGGAGAACTTGTGGGCGGATGTGATATTATTTCATCCATGGCTGAAAAGGGGGAGCTTGCTGCCCTATTTCAGAAATAGCACTCTCACCTTGGAGTTTAAGTAATGTCTTGTTTTATCAGGTGCAAAATGTGACCTTATCTCTTGTACTGTTGCAATAATGCTTAGCTTATTGTATGGCACAAAGTTCTTGGCTCAGAAACACGTTGATTCAATTTAGATGAGGCAGTATTGTACTGTGAAACTTACTGGTTGTTTTTGAGAGCGGGCTTAGCAAAGGTGGCTGTGTGTATTTTTTTGGTCATTTCACATCTTGCACATGAATACATTGTAGCTACATGAGAAAGTATGTGGTGCAAAGTGAGAAAATCGCTGGATTGAGTTCTAAGGTTCAACTCAGAAAATTAAAATTATGATTGAAACTTGGAACATTTTTCTAGGTTCACAATGTCACCGAAGTGTTTGGATCTGTACAATGAGGAGTCAAGAGAGTAATCCTTGTAGGTTTCTGGAACAGATTGATTTTCTGTTAATGAGCTTTACTATTGGAATAAGTAACAGAAAAGAAGCACTAAGCTTTCCTGTACCATATGTTGGCTGGTTATCTGTATAACTCTACCAGAAGCAAATATAACAGGTAAGCTCAACACTTGATGCAGATTATCTGAATATTAAAGAGAAGATGTATCAATCAATCTTTACTAGTTTAGGAAAGTTTCTACTGGAGGCAAGATATCTTCCAAGCATGATTTATTCAATTAATTCCAGGATCAGGGTAAGCAATGACTCAACCTGTTTCTTCTTGATTCAGTTTTGAGCACTCCTGTTTTAACTTAAATCAGAATGGGTTCTCTACTATTGCCATTTTGCCTTACTTTCTGCATTACTAAAGAATGTTTTTTGTCTCCAGCAGAAGCCATCATAAATTTGCTGGGCCTTACGGTTAGGAGTTGGACGGATCCATGTCATCCACAATCACCAGGAAACTTCTGATGTCATGTTGCAGCAGACTGGCCAGGCATGCTGTGAGGACGAGCACTCTGTACTGAATGCCCTCTTTGCAAGCCTTTTCCACTTCAAGAAAATTGATGGGATTTTCGGACTTTAGGCTAATCCTCGTAAGTCTTCT